TATGGTTGCTTTTGCTAATTTTCAGCAAGCAATTCAAACCCTGGATTTAACAAGGATTACAAAGGTTAGCAACTCACCTCTTGTGGCAAAATTTTTAAGGGCATGGGCCTCCGAGTGGAAGTGCTGACAACGGTCAGTACGCGCATTCCGAACCTAAACTAACCTATCTCCGTATATGCACTTCATATCATTTGCTTTGCCAGTACGGAAAAGGAATTTTTAAAAATATTTATGACCAGAAAGGAATTGGGTTAGATAATAGTTTACTTGGCCAGTTCTCCTATCTGACCATATCGCTCCATCTTGAATAAATCTTGCTATCCATTTTTCTTTTGTTTTTGCATTCCATTTTTGTTGGCACTGTTGTTGGATTTGTTACTACTACTTCTTACTTCTACACGATTTAACGTTGTAGTTTGTTACTACTTAATTTGCCACCTAATTTTCCTTTATTTTGCTGTTAGATCTATAGTTAATGTGGCACTGAGGAACAGCACCGTTGCCTCAGATACTGTTCGGTATGCTAAAGCAACTTTTACAACTGCCATTTGTTGTCCTGATGTTAATGGCTTACGTTTCTGTTCTACTTTCAGCGAATCAGCCCATATTTCGCTTCCGTTTAGAAGAACAGAGTTGGCTGTTGACATTAACAATCTTTGACATTACTCTACTCAACGACGCGGTAGCCTGTACTACCTTGCTTCCCGCTTATTGAATTTGTGAATGTGGATGAAGAGTTTAGGAGAGTTTTAAAAAATTACGCTATGTGATACAGCATGTTTTTTCTTTTATGGAATTATACCAACTAATAGGTTAAATAGATTTATTTCTTTATTTTTATTTGCGTTTTCTTTTAATAGAATGTATCTAAACACATATAAAAAGGAATATGAATATTCATTGAATATGTTAGAAATAAATTCTTTTCACAGAATGTAATCGATCATAAACAAAAAAGGAACACTAATATAAATCATATAGTTAATTTATATATTTCATGTCCTAATCCAATGAGCCTTCGTGCCGCTTGTATAAGTTGTCCAGTTGTTCTTAGACAAATGCAATCTCCTACATTTCTTAAGAGCCGTGGGCTTCACATATTATATTACATATTATATGCCTGTAATATGTATGTTCTTTTATGAAATTTTTTTTCTCAAGAGCAGCTATCTAATTTTGTTAAGTTTTTGCTTAAAGTTCATGTTACATCTCAAAGAGATTAATTCCATAATTATTTCACTTTTATACCACAATAATTTGTGAAATCAAAACGTCTTTCTTAACCAATTGAGAAAGATTCGTCCCTTCACTTCAACTAACTAACTATATTACAATAACTCTCCGAAGAAACATTATAATATTAAATTAGCAAAATGCCATATAACATTCAGACCTATAGACACATTATAATAATCAATCTAATTGATTAAATATATATATTTAATTACAAATGACTTTATATATTTCATAAATGATAACTTTGTTACTTTTACAATACGTTATACTTTATATATAGCTTGTTATATCTAGCACACAAAAAAAATTTCTGGACAATCCTGTGACTATGCAAGAAGAAGAAATCTAATATCTTCTCGTTCTTCTCAAGTTAAAAGAAGCCTAAAAACTTGAACCTTTAATATCGTAGTATTATAATATACTGCAATATTATAAGGTATTATAATATAATAGTCTTATAGTATACTATAATACGAAGCTATTATTTTGATATTTTGGTGTAGTATATTCAAAAATTTTCAAAAATTTTTGTTTAAATATAACACAATAGATATCACAGGTCTTACCTTATAACACTATTTTTTTACAATAATATTAACAAATTAAAAAATTTTTAATTAACAACTACTTTAGAGACTAAACACTTTAATTCAGCTATAATCACTTCCAAAAAACACTTGAACACTAGCATAATTTCAGTCCCTTATTATAATCGATATTTTCACCCCAATCTCTCCAATAGTATTAAAAAGTACGTTGTTTTATCTTTTCATATATAATTGATTTTATTTGTTTAGTCTTTTACAAGGAATTTGAAGTTGCAACAACCCATTTACGTAGAGAAGCAACATCACTGTAGACACCAGGATAACCACTTTTAGCGCAACCATTACCCCATGACACAACACCAACCAATACATCATCTGCAACCAATGGACCACCTGAATCGCCTTGACATGCATCCTTAGATTCATCAAAAGCACAAACCATTGTTGGCATAACCTTTGGACCATATTTGTATTCGTCCGAAGCACACCGCAACTCATCAACAATACCAACTTTAACTTCTTGCAAAGTCGTTGGAGAAGAAATACACCAGAAGAAACATTTAACGCCCCAACCAGTCACAACCGCAGCAGTACCGGTTGCTGGTGTTTTTTCAGCTAGCGCAATATAACGAATTTTTGCTGACTGACGTACAGGTGTGGCCAATTTAATGACGGCAATATCATTTTCCTTAGTTTTAGAATTATATCCTGGATGATATTCGAATGCCCTTACTGAAACATATTCACCACCTTCGTTGTAGAGAGTTGAACCCAAACGTATTTTAAGATTTGAAGCATCCTGTCCTGTCATGCAATGTGCAGCTGTGACTACAGTGTCCTCATTTATAATTGAACCACCACAGAAATGTCCACCCGAACTCTTTTGTATAGACACTTGATATGGATGTGCCTCTATTGTAGTGTCCTCACCATTCACAATACGTCCATCGAATCCTTCTGGTAAGGTATTTGCCAAGACACAGCTTAACAAAGCTAAGACAGTTACGAATCGAAACATATTTCTGAACCAATTAAGAAGTCACTTCTGAGCCAATAAAATCGTGTTACCGCTTTTATAGCTGAATTAAACTGATCAGTGTTGTGATTTATGACTGTTCTAATCTAACGATTGGCCGTATTAGAAAGCTTTAGAGATAGAGAATAGATTACATCAACAAAGATATGGTAAATGGATTCTTCGGCAGGAAATAATGCGATTTTTTGTGCTTACACCTAAGAA